AATTTAAAAACTAATAATAATAATAACAACAATAATGATAATAATAATAATAATAATAATAATAATACTAATAATAATGTAGTATTCTCGCACTACTAAATTTATGCAATAAATTAGCAAACTTAAATTGGCACTTTGATGAGATTTTACTTCAAGTTATCTTACTTGTTTTATCTATCATCTGTGCAACTTGATGACATTAGAAGCGCCCTCTAAGGATAGTAGTTTATACTGTTCCTCTGTCAGGGTGTACAGTTTACATAGTTTATACTGTTCCTATGTCAGGGTATATACATTATACATAGTTTATCTGTTTCTATGTCAGGGTATATACAGTATACATAGTTTATAGTATTCCTATGTCAGGGTATATACAGTATACATAGTTTATAGTATTCCTATGTCAGGGTATATAAAGTATACATAGTTTATAGTATTCCTATATCAGTGTATATACAGTAAACATAGTTTATAGTATTCCTATGTCAGGGTATATACAGTATACATAGTTTATAGTATTCCTATGTCAAGGTATGTACACTGATACAGTATACTGTATGGTAAGTTAACCCAACGGGGAAAATATCGTCAAAGAAATGAATATTCGATATCTGAAAAAGTTTCTCCAAATTGTTGTATTTTAAAGAGATATATCTATAAATTTTGGTTGTAAATGGTATCTATAACATATTGGAAATCGTTACTAACAACTCCAGTTTCAATCCTTTTAACTTAAATACTTTTTCACATCTTACCAAAGATAATAGAATATATATTAGAGGGGAATTTAGAGAATCTCCCGGTATGAATTTTTTCAGTTCCATTTCAGCCTGAAAGGGAGTTCAAAGTGTACAAATCATGTAAATGTTCACAAATTATATGCAGTAGAGTACATTAATACGGTATGTTTCCTAGACTATCCATTTCAATTTCGAATTTTTTAATGCTGTTAAATAAACTTTATAATGAATTAGGTGAATAAAAAACAGCATTTGATTTATAGTTATAACGGAAAATCATCGTTTGTAAAGTGGAAGGCATAGAGTCTATGTGAAATGATCATTGGTCAATTATGAAACCAGCCTATTTCATAATTTGGTTTTCTTTTAATATTAATTTTAGATTTCTATAAAATGATATTCCAGGGCCCAAAAGGTTATATAGCATAAATATTTGAAGTACACCTGCAGTATGGAAACAGTACAACAAAATGGCCGTTTTACGCTTTTTTCTAGTAAATTCCCCTCTAATATATATTCTATTCTCTTTGCATCTTACCCTGAATCAATAAAAAGTAACAGAATTTTAACCATGTTACTATTGTATAATTTATTTCATATGTTTCAACAGATTGTACATACATTACAAATGGATGGGTCTGTTTACATTACACAGTGCATAGTTGCTGTGCTAAATATTCAATGGACTATTTGAAAACATAATTTGAGTCAATGAATTATTAAGCAAAGATTTCTAAGTAATATATAGACCAGGAATCTCATGCGTCAAATCCGTGTACTGCAGGGACTGGGACTAGGAGGAGATCAAAACAAAGAATTCAGGGGCAACGCATCATTTTTGATAATTAACTTGTTTACATCCTTCCTCCCAAGGTTTAATCCCTTCCTGCCGATGTTTGTATCCTTCCTCCCAAGTTTCACATCCTTCCTCCCAAGGTTTAAACCCTTCCTGCCGATGTTTGTATCCTTCCTCCCAAGGTTTACATCCTTCCTCCCAAGGTTTAAACCCTTCCTGCCGATGTTTGTATCCTTCCTCTCAAGTTTTACATCCTTCCTCCCAAGGCTTACATTCTTCTTCCCAACGTTTGAATCTTTCATTTTAAGATTTTAATCCTTCCTCCCAACATTTGAATCTTCCTTCTAACGTTAGTATCCTTCCTCCCAATGTTTAAATGATAAATTTTTTCTAAATTTTCATAGTTATTACTTGTAATCCTAAAGAGAGTTATCAAACATAAAATGCAACTCATTCTTAGTCTTATTCCCTAAACGGCTAACTTTATCTGTTTTCAGGAACCTATGAGTGCGGACAATTCAGCACAAATAAAGTCCTCTAAACAGCACTTATATATGTTTGTGGATTTATTGCCAAAAAACTCAGCACAAAAGTTCCCGGCCTTGTCAGAGGCAGTGAGGATAAAACAAACTGTGATTGGATAGACTGAAAATCAAGAGGATCCCTGGTTTATCCATCTAAAGATCTTTTGGAAGAAGTTGAGAAATAAGAGAAAATATTTCAAAAAATACATGGAGAGTCACTGGATAGAGGTCGAGATCCAATCGAAAAAACAATTTCAGCTATTGCTGCAATAAGCAATCGATGGCCTCGGGAAGTTATTAAACTTTTTGTAAATGTTAGATTTTTCAGTAGACTGAAAAAACTCAATGTAATCTTTGAGGAAAAAAGTAAAAATAATGTCAGAACACTAAAACAGACTGCTCAATTTATGTTTTAGAATTATGGAGTAGTTAAAAAGCTTGACGGTCTTCTTGTTTTAAATATGATGTTAAAAAGTGTATAAGAATAAATATATTATGATATGGATAACATTTTTCTCGAATTTTATGTTGAAAGGTTTTATTTCTTAATGACTAATATTAAATGGGCATTTCCCGAAAAGTTTTTAAAGGTACCGTAGTTAATCAGGCATGCATCTTTATATATTAGGGACACAATTATGTGTGCACTGTGCAGTCCTGTTACACATTGAAATATGTCTACAGTTCCTCTTTGCATTGATTCCCATGGAGTGAGGAATTGTTTTTGCTTTTATTAAAACATCCCAATTTTACCATATAAAGTTTCACAATTTGAATATAATCTTGGATATTATCATTTCCCTCTCCTCCCTTTAATGCATATACTCTCAAGTAACAAATAGTCTTTCGTTTTGTAATCAGTATTCGTGTCTACGATAGAAATATACTTTATTTCACCCCCCCCCCCTCATAATTGATGTTTTGCCCCTGAATTCTTTGTTTTGATCGACTGCAGTACACAAATTTGACGCATTAGATATGGCGGTTCCTGGTCTATATATTTCTTGGTTTTTTCAAAGGTGTACGCATTTTTAGTACTGCAGTGTACTGTCTCTGGGCTCTAAAGTAAACACAAAAAGGATGTCTCAGCCCGACATGGGATCAATATTTCACATAAATAATCAATGAAATATTCTGGTCATAGGAAATATTATGTGAATTATCAAAATTATCAAAATTAAATGCTTTAAACCTCCTCGGATACTAAACGAATATGATGCATCTATTCTTGTTAACAAACACCGACCACGGCGCTTATCTTTATTTTAAATGTAAAGAACCTGCCAATTCTTTATTCAAGGCTTTGGACAAGGAATATATTACTGAGTTTCAGAATTGGATGAAGTATGAATGATAGATGAACACTGGAGGATGGATAGATGGATGGATTGATAAATGGATAGATGGAGGACGGTTGTATAAATAAACTTAAAAGAAGTTAGCGTACTTCCGACAGGGTTAAACACTCAACGCTTTTTTTTTCTTGCCAACCATGTTATTAATAGAATAATAAAAATTAAAGAAAAAATGCGGAAATGTTTTCTGCAAAATTCCCGAAATTTGCTAAATTATTCATCCCTGAACAGACTGCCGGATTTTCCCTTCTTTCAACCTCCGTTCAAGGTCAGAGAACCAGTCTGCACACCTTGTACAGCCTACCCACCCTCAACACTCAAAATTTAGAATTAACGGGAAAGTTTAAACAAATTTAGAAATCAGAGATGGAGAACATTTCTTCAGCCAACACTCAGCGAAGGAATTAAAGGGATTGTAATTTGAATTTGAATTGACCCTACATGCAAAGATAGCAATGCCTGCGATAGCCAACGGAAACCTTTATCAGATCAAATATGTACTGTCGTACTTTTCTATAGTTTAACAAATTTTATTTTTAATAGTTTATATATATTAATTCCTGCTTTAGAAATGCGCGAGTCACTTTTGTGAAGAAACCCCAATATAGAACAAGAAGTTATTAAAATTATAATCATTAATACTTCATAGATCATCTCAACGCTTTTATGGGTACTGTTGTGAATGGGGCATCGTCATATTTTCATGGAGGGTCACTTAAAATTACGTTTACAGGTCCTTTAAAGGTCTTAATGGAAGATCTTGGAAAATATTAAAGAAAAAGTTATTTTTAATTAAAAATAATATGCTTTATCTCTTCAGTTTTTAAATCTTGTTTGGTAAATCTCCAAAAACATGTCTAAGATCAAACAGTTAAAATTTGACCCTATCCCTGCTGGGTACTTTAAAACCAGGGGACGCTTAGGGGGGGGGGATCAAATTGAATCCCATGTTTGATGTCTAAATATAACAAATGATACATCATTGGAAATCATCAAATTGACCCCCCCCCCCACCCCCCAGCACGAATAGGGTTAACAAAGATAAGAAAATCATAAATAACTTCCATTATTAAAAGGAATTTATTCCCGAGGTTACGAGGTCACGTGATTACTTGAGGCTTGGGTGAAGAGACCTTGAGGTTACCTTTGTTTACGGGGAGCCAAGGGTGCGTACTACGTAATTGTTGTAACCTCCCCCCCCCCGGGCCCTCTGCGCAAATAATAAAATTTACTTGACCCATTTGGGTAACATATAAGGTTACTAAAAAACCTCTTGTAATATGACATTTGAAGCTTGATTTTGGTTTCTGTATTCAATTTAGTATTTTAATGGTTTATTTAATCATTAAACACATAAATTCGCCCGATTTGGTTTGCAAGAAACACTGAATAATGAATATAAGAACAGATTACATACAGTAGTCTCTGATGTCTCATCTTTTGTTGGTAACTCTGCATTATAGACCACCAACACAAATACTTTTCGACACAGCAGACCCATAGATTGTCCCAAACTGCCTTACTATTCCACGGTTTTATGAGTCACACTGTAATATGATCACTTACTTTCTGAAAAAAATGCAAATACATATAAAGGGTTTTATTCATATAATTTTAACACATTTGTTTGTACACTTGAACCAACAATTCTACGAGATGGTACATAATAATAATAATAATAATAATAATAAAAACAAAAATCAAAAAGTACATGAAGCAGGTCGATTGAGAAAAGGCAACCTCGCCTTAATTCCTGCCGAGGCGCAATTAACGTCACAGTAATGATAATAAATTGATGTAATTCGGATGGGGGCTCGGAAGCACACTGTGATGTCAATGGCGACACAGGGGCTGTTTAAGTGCAGCTACCGCCCCCCCTCGTTTAGAAAAAATACATCATGCGACCAAATAAGAAAATGCCAATTTATGTAAAAATGTCTAGAATTAAAAATCAAATTAAAAGTGGTTCTAATTTGCGTATCTAAATAATAAGAAGTTGATTAAATTTAATTGTAAAACATGTCTAGTTAAAAAACTCTACAGCTAAGGTCCAAATCACCCCCAAAAATGAGTACTATTTAATACATTAGTTTAAAATGACCTATTTTGATAATTATATCATTCTCGCAAAAACATGTAAGCCTTTTTGTTAATGCTAAAACTATATTTATCTAGCGAAGCTATTTTCTGACCAATAACCATTCAGGTTTGATGTATTCAAATAATGCAAAACTTATTCTATGTAATCAAACGGCTGGACCGAATGGGCAAATTTTTATTGAGTAAACTCAAGGGTAGCCCAGGGGTGACATAAGCAAAAAAATAGAAATGGTATTTTTCTCAAAGATAAGATTTGTTTCTTCAAAAATCGTTTTTTTTAAATCTATTTTTTTTACCTCAGCAGTTCAGCTAGTTTTAAAATAAATTGGGAAAAAAATTCTAAAACTNAACTCCCTTGCCAAACAAAATATTGATTTTCATCAGTATTTCATAAATTTGCAAAATACTATAATGTTCAGTAATTAATGGTTTAACACAGAATTAGTTTTCTGGTTTGAGGTTTACGGTGGAATAGAAAAAAATCCTAAACTAGAAATACTGGGAATTAAAAAAGAGACTGTTCACCAATTTGAAGATATATCATTATTTTAACATGGATTCTCATTGTGACTATCTCAGTCGGAGGAAATGCTTTGTGAGGAGAAAAAAGGAAAAATGAGGTCTAAGGTATTTATTTTCAAAGAGTTGGACTGTCCCTATTGTAAAAACTAGATGAAAAAGGCAAATTACGCAGAAATTAAGAACAACAATTTGGTCAAGGTTTTAAAAATGATCAAATTTGGGAACTAGTAACTAATTGCATAATAATTTTAGCATAGGATTTCATTTCAAGAATAATAAAAAACTTTAATTTGGATAAAATCTAGAGTTTTAAAATGACAAAGAATATTATTGTATGAATGCATAGTACACACTAGAATCTGGGGGTGCATTTTTTTCCTATAGATCCTCCCCTCCCCCCCCCCGGCCCTTCTCCGTCTCAAATCTTAAATTCAAATTTCATGTGCCCTTCCTTTTGAAGAGTAACTGTCTCATTCACAACGCTCCTCTTTAACCGATATTCTGAGCGAAAGTGATGGAGATATTCTTCTTTTATAATCTGAAAGTTAGTATTTTTCTTTATAAGGTGACGTGCGGATTTTCATTTTAGCAGCAGAGACAACGAAGGAAAATTACAGAATTAATCATTATTTTCAAGATAGGTGTTTTTCTCACTGTTACCCAGTTTAAGGCGTAAAGGATACCGTTGTGATTAGGGCGTGGATGTTTTTATATCAAAAGTTACTTTAAATTACGTTTTATAATGGGGGAGGGGTGGGAGGGGCACATTATGTTGAATTAAAAACTGGTCTAGGAAAATATGAACCCCTTCACTCTCTACAATACTACGAATATGTTCTAGATCTAAAGTTAAACAACAATTTTGAGATTGGTTTTTGGTAAAACTTCCGTTAAAGGAACCGTAAAATTTAGTTTAAAGCAAGTTGGGTTATCAGTTCTTTTCAAATACTGGCATATTCTCGTACAGCGAGACTAATAAAACTGTCGAACCGGAAGACGACATTTAAACTATCTTAAAAACAATCTACTCTGGTTAGGTGGGTCCAAACTACATAGTAAATTGTGATTTTTTATTAGTATTATCTAGTCCTTGGTAGCTGAATAAAAATATGAATAAATGAATATGAAATCAAAATCAAAAAGCTTTACAAGTGGCTTGAAAAAAAATGGGTTTGTAATCAGCACAATTGCTTTGTTTTATGTGAATTGGACTACTTGGTCATCGTTAAGTCTGAAAATCGTCTTCCTTTTCAAAAGTTTTATGGGTCGCCCTGTAGTTAACAGATTTGTAACAATACAGAGGGATTCAAAACCCGTGAGAAGGGTTTTATGAATTCTCAGATTCCTCTGTAGCAGACCCGCACTGGAATGGGAAAGGGTTGGATGAGGACCGAATCGTCCTTGATCTTGGTCCCGGCCGCCGGCCGGAGCGTTTGGTTTCCGGCGGAGCTCCGATCTTGATCTTTAGCTTCTTTATCGTGGTTAGGTGCTGCTCCCTGAACACACAAATAATGTATTTAAGTATTTTCACAAAACCTTTCAGGAATCTGTTCCTAGAAAAAACCTTGATATTTTTGAGGGGGGGGGGGCGGCTAACTAAATACCCAATGATAGATAGAAAATTACGCTAGATTTCTTTATCGTAAACAAAGTGACTGAAAGCGTAATTTCAAGTGACCCTCCATGAACAATGGCAATGCCCAAATTACATCGATACCCAATTAATACCTTAATCTGATCAAACAGTTTGACCAAACAAAAAAAATTGATCTAATTCATACTTAATCAGACAAAGCTTTCAAGGGTACCGTTGTAAATCGAGCATTACCAACTTTGCATGTTGGGACGTTCTAGGGACGTTCAACTAACCAAATTAATAAGTTTTTTTTGGTGGGAAGTTAGGTTAAAAGAAAATGGGACAGATTTTGATAAAGTGGCCGAAATATTAAGGTTAGCAAAATATTTTTATAATCAATCCAATTTTTTTTGCCTAAAAAACCTCAGAAGATGTTAAGATTTATGAATCAAGGTTAAAAAACTGATATCAACTGTTTACACACTGATAGATATGTTGAAACATGTCTTCATTCTCTTACAAGCTATTGAGACGATATTTTGTATTTGCATGATAACAAAAAGTTTCCTTTTTATCTTTGATAATGTCTTCCCCCCCTCTTCTGAAGATATCATGCAATAAAATGATCTCTTTACGGCATAGTTTATGAGATTTGATTGCAATTGTGGCAAATTTTATTCCTGGCATTTCCATGTGTTTGCATTTGGATACTTTTTGTGTTATCTGATTGCATGTGCCAAGATATTACTAAAAGCATTTCTTTGAGTGAAATATTTTTGTGACATCTTTTATGGATTTTAAACTATAATTGCATTTGTGGCAGGAGTTATGTATCAGGGTATAACTTGTGGTATTTGTTATGATATAACATAATTTACGTGGCAGATTTTAAGCTCATTCCTATTTTGTGTGGCAGATTTTCTGCATTTAGATTATGTTTGTGGCAGATTTTCTGCGCTTTAATTGCATTTGTGGCAGATTTTATGTGTCAAGTATATCTTATGGCATTTGTTATGTTAACATAATTTGTGTTGCAGATTTTAACCTCTCATTTATAATTTGTGTGGCAGATTTTATGAATTGAGATTTTATTTGTGGCCGATTTTATGTACCAAGACATTAGGCACACGTTATGGCACATTTATTCATGAAATAAGAAGAATGTTACCAACTGAATATCTCGATTAGCACTTTTGACTAAAATTTCCTTTTCTTCTGTTCCTAGGGAGACTTTTCCCCTAAATTGACAGATTTGTTCTCTAAATGGGTAGATTATTCTTCCTCAAATTGGCACGTTTTTGCTCAAAATTTGCAGTTGTTTTCCAAATCTGAAAGTGGCAGGTCAGTTAGGTCAGGTAAACTGACCTAAATTTGCTCTGGCAGAAACCCTGAAGTGGTGGTGGTGGAGTTCTTGAAGTTAGATCTTACTAGTACAGTTCCCCACAGAGGATAGGGGGGGGGATGTTAACTGAATTCTATTTTGTCAATTTAAACTCAGTCAAACAACTATTAAACTGTTGACTTCTAAAAAGTAGAAAAACTAAATTATGCTGACACAGTTTTCAAGAAATAAATGGAGAAAGCAATTATTTGGCCAAGCATAGAGATACTAATGAAGGACGCACTAGAAAGAAGGTAATATTGAGGACGCACAAACGTTTAACATGCAATCATTAATCTGACTTAACCCCGATAACTTTGGCAACTTGTTGGAGATGTAAGGTTGACAAGTTTCTTAAAAAATATTTATTTTCTCCCACAAAGTTAGGTAAGTTTGTGCGTAGCATAAAACCTATTTTTATGGTTCAATTCGTAAAATTGGGGAAAATAAATAAATAATTGGGTCAAAAGTATCAAGATATGAAAAACTTGCCTTGTGATCGATCGATCGATCGATATCCAATTTTCCTATTTTTACCGTTAGTCATCAAAAATCATTCTAAATTGTCAAGAAAGTGCGGACAAAAGAAGAGCAAATAGAAAATAATTTAATAATATTAATTCTACTAAAAATGTAATTGATTAAATATGACTATTGATTATGTCGGGTTTTATGTACTTTATTTAGTTTAATTTTAGCTTATAAGCTTACCTAACATGTCTAAACATATCCATCGCGGTCGCAGACATTTCTTTGCAATCTCGTACCTGAACAATTATATCTTTACATCTTTGATTGGGAAACTTTGGAGACCCAAGGGAATGTTCTTAGTTAGTTTTTGAGATTCCACGTTGAGTGGGTCCACTTTTTTTAGAAAAAAGCTAAAATCGTAATTTACGACCAAGTGCAGGTAAACGGCAGGGTAACTATGAGTACACTGGGCAATGCGTACGTTGGATTCTCAAGCTAGTTATAAGTAAAAGGTATTTATACAGTTGCATATTTTTACATTTACAATAAAATCAAAAGGTATTTGTACAATCACGTGCCTGTTACAGTGTACATGTACGTAAAAGTTAAAAAGTATTTTTAAGTGTACATGTGAAATGTTCACAGTAAGCTGACTAACCTTGCATTTAGTTGGCGAGTTGAATTCATAACTGTTTCCTGTTAGTTGATCAGCTTTAGCCAATATCTTCCAAAGTTTTCTGATTTTATTACCATAAACAGGGCTATAGGTCAGGGTCATTAACTACAATATATTATAGTTTAGGAAAAAAGTACATAACTTTGTTTAAAAGTGTAATGCACTACTAAATTAGTACAGGTCATCCGGGGGTTACACAAGAACATTAAGAAGGTCACTCATAAGTTAATGTAGGTGTCGCAGAAGGTCATTTAGGTGTTAAGGAGGTCAAAGGAAGGACTATCTAGGGGGGGTTCAAACAGGAGTTCATCTAGAAGTCGCAGGAGGTAATATCTAGGGGTCCAGACGGGATCAGAGGCGAGAATTTCGAGGGGTCACACAAGAGGTCATCTAAGGGTCGCAGGAGGTCATATCTAGGGTTCACAGGCAGGCATCAAGGAGGTATCACAAAAGGGTATCAATAGGGTGACAGGAGGGCATCTGGTGGTAACAGGAGGTCATCTAGGGGACCATTGAAGGTTGTAAATAGGGGTTCATGGGAGGTTTTATCTAGGGGTGACAGGAGGTCTTCTGGGGGTAATCTCGAAAGTCAGATCTTCGAGGTCTTCAGAGGGCATAAGTCATCGTTGAGGTTTCAAAGGACATCTTAGATGTAAGAGGTTCATTCCTAACTCAGGCTTTACATAGAGGTAACAGGAGGTCATCCCTGCGTTACAGGTCCTCTACTTGGATGTAGTCAAAGTAGGATGACTGTATGGTCAGATGAGATTATTTGTATGTTCAGAGATGAGATTAATTCAGTAGTCGAACAAGGTAATCTCGAAGTCAAAATATAGTTAATTACCTTAATTAGCAAAGATAAAAAATTTAATCATGAATCGCACGGCATTACTTAGCGTGAACGGAAATCAAATCTAAAGCACCTTAGATCCGGACAATTTAAAAATTGATTCGGAAAATTAATCCGGAACTATTTAAATGTAAAACTCTTAACCTGAATCCTGCAATCAGTTTGCATCCGTATTTCCGCGGAGCTTCGAGTCCGCAGATGACCGGACTCGGACATATGGGTCATCCAGCTTCCAGTCCTCAGCTTTACGCTGTGCGTCATATGCGTACACCCAGGCTCACATTCGTCACAGTCCTGCACATTGTTAAAAAATTGCGTTTTTTGGACGGGGTTGGGGTATTAGTCACAATATAATAAATAGATGGATTTTGTTAAATTTAAGTCATCATATTACCTACTTTGTTAATATTGATTAATTTTCTTTAATAATGGCATTTTTAAACAAATTTTTTAGAAAGTTACATCTTTTAACGCATATTTGGTTGAATTTATTTGCGTACAACGCACACTACGCATTAAAATTTTTTTATGATTTTACTAAATGCATGTCAATTTGAGACGTTTTTGAAGAATTCAATTCTATTAAATTCAATTCAATTATCGTCGTTTTGAGACCGCTGTTTTTAATGTGTTCTTCTTCATGATAAAAATGTTGTCAAATAAACGCCATTTTATTTATATATTTTAAAGAATTAACATTGTTATAATTCGATAGAGTCGAATTTTGTTGAAAATAATGTTAGATTAATGCGATGTAATTGAAATTTATCGCGTGACATTTCCGATTTAAAAATCTCGTTGAAAATCGATTATTTTCACTAGTGGTTTCTCTAAAAATTTACTTGCGAATTCCTGCTTTAGAAGCAATTGAGAAAATTGTTAGAATTAAACACATTTTAGGTTATAAAAACAACGATTAGATCAGATTAAGGTTTAAAGGGGCGAATCGGGTATTCCACTCTGTAAATGAAGGGTCACTTGATATTACAACGAAAATCCCATACAATCCCAATGCTAAGGGACTGGAAGCATAATTTCAATAGACCTTCCATGCAAAGATGGCAATGACCGATTTACAACCCTTCAAGCTTTGTCTGAGTAAGAATTTATTAGATATGAATGTTTATTACTTTTAAAGCTCGAGAAACGACAATATCTTCCACATTATTGATTAGACAACGGTTTCAAGGGTACCGTTGTAAATCGGGCATTGCCATCTTTGCATGGAGGGTCACTTGAAATTACGCATACAGTCCCTTTAAGTTCAATTTGCCAGAAGCTAAAGATTATTTCCTTACCTCGCATATATAGGATATAGGTGGTGGACCAGGAGAGGGACTAGGGGATGGACTTCTATGCCTGGGGACCCTAGATCCGGGCCCAGGCTTCCTGGGACTCTTTGAGGGACTTCTATAGATTTCAAGGTTGGGCCGAGCCCGCCGTGATTTAGGACTAGGTTTGTATACATGACTCAGGGATGGTTTTGGTGATATACCATCGTCCCGTTTCATTTTGTGCACTAGAAATCCACGCACGTTCAATTTTTCATTCAATTTTTGTCCCACATTTTTACTCGCAATTTTACCCAATCCAACAGCAATGTTAGGCATTAAAACCAATGTTTAAATATAAAACACTTAAATATGTTTATTAAAGTATTTTCATTGGAATAAACACATAAATAAATAAAAAAAAACTTTTTGTGTGTTTTCCTCTCATAAAAATAATTTTAGAATAAACTGCGTGGCAGTTACTTGTGCAATTTTTTAACTTTCATTGTTATGCCAATGTTTTTAAATAATATTATGAAATTGTTTTTAGGGGTATAGAGATTCGCGACACCGGATAAACCGGTTTTCTTGTAAATTTCGTGGATTTTCCGTAAACTTTTAGTTAGAAAGTTTGAATGTCGGTGTTCCTAAAGCATGCTGTTCTAAATCTGTCATTGTAGCAAAAGGTTTTGAACAGGTGTCACACGTATGTCGCTTCTCAGTGTGTTTCGTCCTAAAATAATTTTTAAATGTTATATTTCCTTTTATATATTCATTTTATAGAAAAGTCTTTAAAAAAAAGTATTACAATCATGGATGTTATTTATCCTGTAAAATGCCCTTTAAAACAAAAATAACTTCTGTAAATAAGGATTTTTAGGTTCAAACATCAACAAGGAAATTGGCGTGTTCACTATAAAATAAATCACCTGTAATGTACATTAAGACTCCATGCTGCTCGAAATTCTTCCTCGCAAAATTTGCACCTGCACAATAATCAATTAAAAAATGACAAACGAATATAATTAACAAGATATTTTTGTTTTGTTTAATTTCGAATCCAGGGTTACTGAAGAGCAACTGTGCGGGATTTAGACTGTTTTTTTTTATTTAAGATTCCCTTGAACAGTGAACTAGTTTCCTTAAATCATTAAAAAGTCATTAAGGCATTGGACATTATTTAACCATGGAATAATCATGCTTAAAGATTTCAGATCATCTTTACTGTACTATCCAGGTTTTTTTCTTGTCGTACATCATTTTCCTCTTCATGCAGCTACAGGTAATTTTTCTATTTATTTTTAGCAGCTACAAAAATAAGCTTCGACAATTTTAACAGCTCTTAAGGAAACCATTTAAACAACAAACTACTCCTTAGGCCGAATTTAAAGAATTCGAGCCGAGGCTTAAATTTGAGACGCGGGTAAAATAAGGATGGTTTTATTAAATATTGTATTCAATGTTTCAAGATTTATGCCGGCGCTCAATTAATACCGTGTTTTGACGGATTTGAGACGCGGCTCAAATTTATTAAATTCGGACTCTGGGATTATAATTAATTAGCTTAGGAACCTAATTTGTCCAAGCTGAAAACTCTTGTATTAAATATCCTAATTATTATTTTTGAATCTAAGTCACTGTCGACATTTATGATTTTATGCTTTAATCCTCTTTTTTGTTTTGTTTATTTCCCGGCTTGATTGCAACCACTGCGAGTTCTCTCTTTAAATGCGCGCGCAAAAGTTCAAAATTTCTCGACTCTGCAATCAACACTCTGATTGATTGAATTTTATACATTTTCTTGAAATTAACAAAAAGAGCCATGAGGAGACCAAAGCATTGATCTCCACAGTTCTAAAGTTTTAAGCTCTGAAAACTAAACTTCCTCTAAAGAAGTCATTCCACTCAAATTAGAATGTTTAAATCAAGCCAGAACATTACTAGTTCCCTGATCAAAATTTGAGGCATCCAAAACTTAACCACTATTTTTATATATTAAGTAGTGATTTTTGTTTGTTTGTTAGTATTTTCGATCAGAACTCGTGAACAAGGACCAATTTGCCTCAAATTTTGATTGGGGAACTCGTAGACCATGGGTCGACTTTTATAAAAAAAACATTTAGTTTCCAGGCAAAGCTGGGTTCTTGCGCTTCAAATCAAATCAAGTCAAATCAATCTTTTAGGGACGTCCTACACCCACACTCCAAAATTGAAAATAGAGAAAATACATCACTACTTCTAAGTTCACAATATGATCCAAAGTCTTAGCTGTTATGAAATTGTTTCGGAACAAAATAACAAAAAAAAACTAAAAAGTTAGACAAGGCAATTGTTCAACACATAATAAAAATATCTTTTTATTTTATAAATTGTAATCATTGTTCGTCATCTTGACCGATTTGCCGGATATTTTGATTACGTGCAGAAAAACCCACTTAATATGAAAATCATAAATTTGACTCCTGGCAAAGTTGGGTTCCTAAGCTAATAAAATATGTAATAAGAGCTGAGAAAAAAATTCTATGTTCACTTAGAAAAACTAGCCGAATCATTTAACAAATTTCAGTATTCTTCGGCCATCGCATGTCATGCTGTCATTGAGTTCGAGGGGNGGTTGAAAAATTAAAAGAGTTTAGTATAAAGTGATGATGTATTGAGGAGGGGGTAAGAATGAAGATTAAGAATCATAGGATCCTCAAAATTTTAGATCCTTAGATCCGGATCCAAGAACAAAAAAGTGCTTAATAGTTTAACCTTTAATTTCAAATTTTAAACAATAGTAAAATCAAGAAAATATTTGGGTCAAATAATGTCTTGGAAAAACTTACTTATATGATGAAGGGTCTTCGTTGTCCTCTAGTTTTATCCGTTTAGCAGCAGGCTCCGTTTCAAGCCCAGGTTCAGGGGTAGAGTAGGTTACATCGTACTGAACATCTGAAATAATAAATATATTAGTTTATTAAAAATTATAAGTGACTAGATGAAGTGTCCGAGGCGTTGTACAAAAGAATTTCGAATTTTGATTAAAAATTCTATTTTTAAATAAAAAAATAGATGTTTGAAAAAAATATAAAAATTCCATTTTTTTATATGTATATTGTATAATGTATATTGAAATGTATATACATGAGAGAATTTTTAAACCAATTTGGTCCAGTCGTTTGGCCAGCTATAGTTAACATAAACATATACACAAATCAAATATATATACAGGGTAATTTAAAAAAACCCAGGCATTATAGATGTTTTGGACAAAATGTTCAAAAATTATGTTTTGTTCGGATTTTAGGCGTAAAAAAAAATTAAATTTGATTTAAAAAATCTAAAAATAATTTCGGAACATTGAAAAAAATTCGCAAAACCATTTTTTTTTTAAAGTGAAATGTTTTTAACATGAAAATTTCATAAAAATTAATGAGAAAGAATAAAAAACCACAACAAAATTATAGTGGAAATCAGCAGTAAATTTTATAAAACTTATATGTTATCACTTCAAAACTTAAGTAATTGGCTGACATTTTTTTGTTACACTTCATTCAATATTTGATGAATTTTGATAAATTTTAGAAAATATTAGAATGAGACTTTTTAATTTAATTTAATTTTAATTTAAAATCCGGTCATTTCCAAAATGTGGTCTGCCATCAAGAGTTTGGCGAAAATTTCAATCAATTAATTGAAAACATGAAAATGTTTCATTCTGGACGAATTCATTAAAATCTTGCGAAGGCACAAAAAAGGCAGACCACATTTTGGAAATGGCAGGACTGTCACTGTATATAAATGTTACCTAATGCATCGTCTGCTAGATCCTTATCATTCATAGATATTGCAACCCTGGCATCCAGCATAGTTGGGATATTTAGAACCCATTCTTCAACAGTTTCAGGGATATAATCACTTTCCAATCTACTCTCCCGACCCCTAAACAGGGAAATAAATAATTACAATTTCTTTCAAATTTTGCATAATGTCAGAGCAGCAAATGTTTCCTAAATTTTGAATTCTAAACATTTGCTTTTCTTTAACCTTGTCACATTTGGACCCTGGCAGAAAATATATTCAATACAAACGACCCAAAAACGATCCGAAACGAATGTGTTATAACGATCGTTTTTGAATCGCTTTTCCATTTAAATTTTGTTTAGGATAAAGATATTGCAAAGTTTAAAAAAAACTTCAACATTATACAGTTTTAAATCATGGAAGTTTTATTGATTTATTTCTTTTAACGATCCAAAACGATTAATAAACACTAGGTGTAAGACACTCAAAAACTACAAGTGAAGCAATTATCAAGCTATGGCTTACTTATTTTCAAGCAAAAAAAATCTAAAAAATACTAAAACCAACTTACCGCGAGGGTTTATATTTTCTTCTTCTTGGTTTCTCGGGAGAATTCCGTTTCTGAGATCTAAAAAACAGGGGTTGTTTATTTTCCTAAAAAATCTCCCCCATTCTCTTTAGAAAGTAGTTTTTTAGGGTTTTATTCGCTAAATTGGTTTAAATAAATAAACTTTTGAGTTAAAAGTATGAATAAGGATGAAAAACTTTGGAGAATAAATATCTAACTCATACTTGATCAAGCTTTCAAGGAAACTGCTGTATATCAGGCATTGCCATCTTTTCATGGAGGGTCACTTGAAATTTTGCTTACAGTCCCTTTAAGGATAAGGATTAATTGTTCCGAGATTAAAAAATTATCTATTGTAATTGTTATTATTAAGTGCGAACAAGTTTTTGCTGTGATTTTTTTCTCTAGCTATTTATTAGCAGGTCGATAAAGTTACTTTACCACCCTGCTGTAGGGTGATAAAGTTAATTCCACCCTACATCAACAAGGTGATAAAATAACCTTATCACCCATCCTTCAACAAAAAATATACAGGGTAAAGTTTGAAACTTTTATGGCAGGGTAATAAAGTTACTTTTTCGCCCTTTTGTAGGGCGATAAAGTCACTTTATCGCCCGGAAAATATTAGGTGTTTACCTGTAATCCATGGGAAGATCGTTCATAAGAGGTCGTTTAGCATATTTAGTGTAGTGAAGAGAGAAATTCTCCCCAATTATCTCAGCATCCTCTTCCAGCTTCTCCAGTCTAAAGAAATTCAATCAATCAATCAATCAATCAATCATTTAGGAACGCCCTTTCACCACCTAGGGATTCAGAGGTGAATATTTTTCAGAATAAAAAAATCTATTCCTTATTACTAAGATTCTAAAAATGGATTACGACACAGTACGAATATACATATATATAAATATATGCAATTTCATCTAGTTATTTTTAACTTGTTTTTAAGATTTATGTGCGCTGCACTGAATACCATTTTCAAACCCGAAAACATTACTTGGCAAAAATAAATTAATTTCAAAGGCGGAGGAAGCTTTGAGCACAAACTACAAATATCTCATTGGAGTGAGAAATTTTTTTATTTCACTTTACAATCAAATGAAAAAATTTCGAAATTTACAGATTTTACGTTTCAAATTATGTAACAGAAAATTAACTTTATGTGAGAAAAAGAAAGAAAAACAAAACAAGTTTATAAAGTGAGACCCGACAAACTCTGGAATAGACAGAGCAAATTAATGCGTTTTATGTTTATTGGACTAATTGAAATAATATATATAGTCGTCTTCCTATTCCACAGTTTTATGGATTCCACTGTATCATCAAATACAGACCTTGTTTTAATGAAAAAATAATGAAGATAAGATGAATAGTAAGATAAAACAGGAGCGATCAATAAAATAGAATTACTGACATGAAATCGGAGTTAAAAACTTGTACTGAGATCTAGACGAAATTTTGAAAGTTAGTCATCAAATTTGTAGACAGCCTCGAAAAGCCCTGGCATTTGGTTTTATCTCACAGACTTTTTGCAGCCCTGGGCATACACATTTTAAAATTGCAACAGCCTTGTTTCTAAGTTTAAAAGGAGCAATTGGCAAAATACTGCTCGATTTTTGCGTGAGAGCATGCACACCTTGGATTGCAGTGCATGTCAACTGCAGATGTAAACATGTAAAAAATAAACTACTCTCAAGGATGACTCCACAGGATTTCTGGAGATAAGAATAAAAATGTCGAAACTACACTGTCTACAGGGATGAACTGCAATTTGACAATTTCCCCGTCTCATCCATTATTATTCAACAGAATTACCATGAGGGGAAGGCACACACCGTACCTAATATTCGTCCGAACCGCAAATGTTAGATGTTCTTGTTTAAACAGGATAAAATTTTAAAAAATGCTGGACGAAAAAAATAGTGCGGTATCAACCAAATGAGCACACTGCCAAGAAGTTAAACTTTTGACGTCATATGCGGTTCGGACGAAAAACAGGGGCTGTGTGCCTTCCCTCCAGTATCCTGCCCAACTAAGTACAAAGTAAAAACCTTTCTCATTCTTGGAAATCCTACTCGAAATCCCCCCAAATGGTCCAAGAAATAATAAAAATATTATACTTTTTAAAAACTACAATTAATCTTAAATCTTCTTAGATCAAATTAAAAAAATGAGAGGGTTTGCTAACAGCTTTCAAGTTTATTAAATGGAATTTCAAATACTTAATGAACATGCTTGCCATAGAGAAATGGCCTAAAAGTATCGTAGTGCCTGCAAAATCTCTATTATCATTGGTTATGCTTTTGCATTAAACCTCAATAGTTCTTACCTTGTTATAGTGTTATTGACATACTCCTATTCTTACCTTGCTATAGTGTTATTTACATACTCTTATTCTTACCTTGTTATAGTGTTATTGACATACTCCTATTCTTACCTTGTTATGGTGTTATTGACAACTCCTATTCTTACCTTGCAATAGTGTTATTGAGTTGACATACTCCTATTCTTACCTTGTTATAGTGTTATTGACATACTCCTATTCTTACCTTGTTTTAGTGTTATTGACATACTCATATTCTTACCTTGCTATAGTGTTATTGACATACTCATAATCTTTCTTTGCTATAAGTGTTATTGACATACTCCTATTCTTACCTTGCTATAGTGTTATTGACATACATCTTGACATTCTTAGGAATAGCATTGTCCCCGCACATATCCTCACTATAGTACTCCACAACGGAGCTGTACTCCTTAGAGCAGGTGTCACACTTTATCCCAAGCTCATGCTGATCTACTCCAAACCAAACATATTGATTTTCATTTTCGAAAATATTGAAATAATGCAAAATCTGTGAGTTTCTCTGCATCGTACAGTGTACACAAAACCAGACAATCGTCAATATGAGGGACACCTGAAGTTTCATATCTCTGGAATAATTATTTAAGTGTCACCTAAATAACAATTCACAAAAAGGTGAAATATTATTATATTTTACACAATTTCCCCCCATTCTGCTTAATAATAAGAATTATATTTACAAAATTGCCTTAAAAAAACGATTTTACAAAATCCACCAAAAGTCGATTTTACAAAATCCACCAAAAGTCGATTTTACAAAATCGACTTAAAAAAAGTCGATTTTACAAAATCCGCAAAAAAATGGACAAAGAGCAACAGTTTTCAGTTAAAAGCGAAGATAAGCCTAGTGTTTAATATTCATGGTTCCTTTGTGAAGTGCGAAAATGACTGGGCTCATACACGGCAGGGAACAGGTGGAACAGTTAACCGGCTTAGAGCGCAAATATTTACAAATGAAATGCACTGGATTTGCCTAAAATGTATATAAGGTTATATTTAACCAACAAACCATTCATTACTTTCAACCGTAAACGACGAATATTTGGCCGTTAGGTGTCTCTGCTCTAGAAATTTCAGGAATTTACCATAGGAGACACATAGCGGCCAAAAATGCGTCGTTTAAGTACATCCTAAAAAAACCTTACAATATTATGAAATATCAACTGTAGTGTATACGACTGCTCGATATAATAGGTCGTAATATCTGAATGATTAATTTTTTATCTAATTGAATTATTAACGATCTGTGTACTCCAACACTGAAAATTTATATGGAGGCTCCTCTCTTGGGTATAAAACGTTTTTACTATTTTCTGCTTGTATACGGAACAAAAAAGTAAAATAAGTAGCAATAAATGTCAAATTCAATTCGATATCGGCCTATACACCCTTTTTTGGGAACATTCCCTTTAAGTGACCCTCCATTTATTGAGTGGCATCTCCGATTCACATCCTTGATCAGTCAATGGTTATTGTTGTAAATTGGACATTTAGAATTAATCAGACGACTTTAAATCTAATTTTACAAATATGATTGATGAAACAATAATAAAATATCCCTAATCCTGTCATAAATGTAGTCTGACTTTCTTAAGCATTTCAAATTGCCAGAGTCTTTCTGGGTCTCTGATTATGACTGTACTTGATAAATTTGGAAAACCATCAATTTAAAATATTATTATTACCTTGTGTAGATGTAGCATATGATACAACAGCTTGGTAGAATGTTTAAACTTCTCATTGCAGAACCGGCATCTGAATACAGTGGTCAGCGTTTATATCAATACAATAAAGAGGAATTTTTGAGGTTTTGATTTTTAGCTTTTTTCAAAAAACAAGTTTACAAGTAATTGACAGCTTCTCTTTGTTTCCATTTTTATGTGTATCCCAGCTGTTCTTTATAGGGGAAGACAGTTCATAAACCGCGCTTACGTCCCAAATTTGACAATGTGTGTCAGATTTAGGCCTAATCAAGTGTCCGTAAATTTCTTGTCCTGGTTAAGGGTTGACGGACGAAGTTTCAAGAGACCCTTCGTTTATAGAGTGGCATGTCAGATTCACAATGGTAACCTTATAACTTTGTCTGAACAGGAATGAATGATTTATCCACAATTTCTCTTTAAAAAATCGTTATTTTCAATTATGGTTTCTCTATTACAAACGAACAACAAGTGACTTGCGGATTTCTTGAGAATTGATCAGTATTCAAGCCAGAAAACATAAACGACACTGTTGTAAACCGGGCACGGCCCTTTTAAAAAATGGAAAGTCATTTGAAAAAAAAAAAAAAACAGTCCCTTTTAGTGTTTATACCTCGTAGCTTTACTGAGGTCGGAGGAGGTAGATATGACTGGTGAATAGTAGGATTTGACCGGCAGCGATTGCTCAAGAACGGGGCCGGAACCTGATGGAAATCAATCAAATAATCAATCAGTTTATCAATCAATCAATCAATCAATCAGTTTATCAACTAATCAATCAGTTTATCAATTACTCAATCAGGTTATCAATTAATCAATCAGTTTATCGATTAATCAATCAACCAGTTTATCAATCAAACAATATATCAACCAATCAGTTAGTCAATCCATCAATCAATCAATCAATTTAATCAATCAACAAACAGCTGGGAACTTAGGAATGGACAGACTGAGTTATTATGAGTTTAAGTCCTTCTCTCTAGTCTCTACACCCGGCCCTCAGGAACTTAATCAATTTTGATTATTATTCTCTTGTTACCCTCCCCCCCATGTATCTGCATCCCCTACCCTTTCTACCTACAGATGGACATCGCTTTGAGGTCTAAAGTTTTTAGACTATTAAGAGGCTCAACAAGAATCTGGGATGTGAATCCTTTTTCAATATTCCATACTAATCAAGTTTGCTAAATCTACATTATGCCAAAAATTTTCTCTGATTAAAGATATTAGGAATTCATTTTTGTTTTAAAAATTCGTCTTGACCAGAGAAAACAATTCTCATGATGTAATAATAGCAAACTTATCGAGAATACAATTTTGCTGTGTCGAATAATTAGCATCTTTGTTGAGCACTTAATGTCAAAAAACCCCAAAAGGTCATTAAAACAATATGTCTATAAAAAAGTGTCTATAAAACATCAGTACTTCACCCCACCCCATTGTACCTGTTTCCCCCCTGGCGAGCCTGTTCTCCATGAGGCTGATGAACTCCCTGAGCTTGGGATGATGGTACAAGGATTTCCCGTCTATTTCCTCGTGCACCTCACTAACAACAACAACATGTCAAATCAAATCAGATCAGGGGTGTATACTGTATATTTAGATATAATTTTGACACTTTTTCTTCAATATTAAATTTTACTAAAATAAAATTATTAATTTTGTTGTTTTCCTGATCCAATGCACAAGGGTTCGGATTCCTGCAATACTGTAGTTTCTTCTGAAATAAAAACAAAATTAGATTATTATTTTTCTGTTTTAATAATTAAATTTAAGTAGTATATTGAAGTATTACAAAAAGTCATAAAACAATAAAATAAAGACAAGCAAATTTACTCAGATTCTAGAAAGAATTAAGAATGGTTTTGCTCAAATGCAAATGATTTATCATTTGATCACAAAATGAAGAAGACAATGAATATATTGATAATAAGTTGATGAAAGACCTTGAAGTCCACTTTGAAAGAAAGACGGCTTTTATATGATTAATTGATTGAAAACCTGGAAGTCCACTGAGTAATGAAGACGACTAAATTTACATGATTAATTGATTGGATACATGGAAGTCCACTGAGTAATGAAGACGACTAAATTTACATGATTAATTGATTGAATACCTGGATGTCCACTGGGTAAGGAAGACGACTACAAGTGAAGGATCACAAACCGAAGGGTCCTCACACTGGTTTGGTAGATTTATTCACTTTTTGGCCAACATAACATGGTGCGGGGCGAAGTTAATTTGAAAGGTATGACAGAATCTGAGTGATAAAAGGGCGAAAGTGTAAAACTTTAAATNGGGGGGGGGGGGGGGGGTATAAGTTTTCGTTTAAATCAAAGTTCAAATAAACCATTCCTTGGCAACTGTTTTAGAGAACTTATAAAATTTATCACGAAAGATTGGTTTGAGTTTGTTGTTTGGCATCCCAGCTTGTTTAGGAGCTAGACCAGGCATCTACAACAATAACAATCTTTTAAGTTAATTAGTCATTTTCAATGGTACCCTTTAAAACATCGTCTGGACATAAAGTATGGAGATATTATTGTTTTACTCTCTAAAATTTTATTCAAAAATGCCTTGCGGAATTATGCAGAATCCAACACGTTTCAGTTGTTGCTTGGATTAAATCGTACATGCAACTTTTTAATTGGGGAAGGGGGGGGGGGGCCACTTGAGATTTCGTCGTTTCTCCCTTGAATAAATAACAACAATTTTACATCAAAGGTAAAAATGCGTTTAAGCAATAAATTGATGGGTTCCATTAGATGGGAGAGTTGTTGATAACAGTTTTGAAAGTTTTATCACTTGGAAACAAAAAAAGGCAGATAAAATTCCTTCTTTTTCAAAAATAAGATTTTTCGATAAATCACAAAAATGATAAAAATAGAGGAAAACGTCGTGAAATTTGAAAAATCCGTTTCAGAGAAAAACATTTCAGAAGTTGCATTGTCTTAGAAAGAATATCTGAAAAATGAACACCCCGCAGAAAGATGCATTCTTCTACAAAAATTACATTTTAACAAACAAAAATTTTGAAAGTTTTTTGATTTTCATTTGAAAATAGTTTGATAAATGAATATTGAACATTAAATACCTCGGAGAAAATTCAACAATCTTCATGAAAAAGAGTTTCATTTAAAGTTCTTACCTGGGAGTTAGGTTTAACTACTGGAACAGTTTTCAAACAAGATTCAGGAGAGTAAAGAGGGTGGTCCTAGTCAATTAATCAATCAATCGATCAAATTCATTCAATTTAATCAATCAATCAACCAAAATTAATTAATTATTTAATCAATCAATCTCGCCAACAATATCAAGAAGTCAATTAACCAAAAATTTAAAATCAATCAATCAATCAAGTTTGGTAGCTTTCAGTAAATCAATCGACAGCAAATAACAATTCAATCAATAAATCACTCATGCTATTATTCAGTCAGGCAATCATTCAATCAATCCACCACAAATAACAAATAAATCAAACAATTATGTTATATTTATCCTAGACACACAATAAATAAATAAATTAGTTATTTAATCAAGTTAATCAGTTTATCAATCAATAAAATTAGGTTTACCTACTGTAACAGTTTTAAATCAGGACTCAGGAGGGTGCTCATAGAAATCAATGAATCAACCAACCAACCAACCAATCAATTAATCAATCAATACTTACTAATAAGTAAATAAAGGCATCCTAAATCTTTTAACCTAATACTCGATCAAATACAATCATTCAAACAATCAATCCATTAATAATAATATTATTTAATCAATCAATCAAAACACTAAATAAATCATATGATCAATCAATCAATCTATTCTTCGGTTAAACCTGTAAAAGATATCTCTATGTTTTTTGTCTGTCAATCAACTAATCAATCAATCAATCAATCAATCAATCAATCAAATCAATCTGCATATTAATTACCTGTAAAAGGTGTTGAAGAGTCTCCAGATGTTTCTCAATATAATGCTTAATTAAGAATGTTTCCGAATCCGGAACACCGTCCTCCTAATACCAAACAATATCAAATCAAATTCAGAACTTGATTTTTTTCTTCTTCTAAATTTTCTCCACTATTAAGCAACGTGTTTCAGGTTTAACAAGTATTTGTCGCTCCAAAAATTGAAGACCACTGACAATATTAACAAATATTGAAAAATGATTTCCCGAGAGATTAATTGAACTACTAACTACCGGTTCAAATTTGAACCACCGATTCAAAGGTAAAGATTAAGGAAGAATTTAAATCAGTGATTTAAATTTAAACCCGTTATAGGCAGTTCAAGTTCAATAAATTCAATCCCAGGATATTAGTGATTGTCTTTTAACACGTAGAAAATATGGTAATTGTTATTGTTTTGGTTTCCTTGAGTTGTACAATATTATATTCGCAATCATCAGCTGGACAAATCTCTAGATCGTCGCAACCCATGTCAGCCTCTACCTCTGCTCTTAGATGCTTTAACAGCACGTGGCAGCAGAAGTTTCCCTAAATACATATTAATGGTAATGTTACATCGTCTATAAGCAATATCCCCCTCTACTAGACTTAAGACCTACTGTAATATCCGACCTACGACAGCTGTTAATTTTTCATTTATTTAGGGTCAGGTTAGTACAGGTTTCTTTAAATAATCATTCTTACTTTTTGAGATCATTTAAAATAAAAACTAGATCAAAATTTCACTCTTTTGTTTGTTCAGAAAGAACTCTAGTTATGGAGGATTTTGATTTTAAAAAAGGATCCGGGTTTTAAGCAATATTTCATATTTAAAAAAAACCGGATCTTAAATAAAACAGCTAACCTTGAAATTGATTTCTGGATCCGGCTGCGGAACCGGGAACCGAATTTTGCATGTTGGGCAGAGGAGAACCTTTCTCATCTGTCCTGGAGAGGGCGGGCCCAGGGTCCTGAGGGCGGGGTGAAGGGGGGCGGACTGCATAGGGACCAGGATACCAGAGGAGTTAGGCACGAAATGGGTGTTGAGGTTTGGAGCAATAGGAAGGTAGCGACCAGGAGCGACTCCAGGAAATCTTAAAAAAAGTTTGTTTCGTCTTTCGACATTTGTCTTGACATTTCAGCTATTTCAACCCTATCCCTGCTGGGGTACTTGAAAACCAGGATACGCTGGGGGGGGGGGTCAATTTACCCCCCCCCCTCTAAATCCCATGTTTGATGTCCAAATATGACAAATGATACATCATTAGAAAGCTCTTGTGCTCTACTTTTAGAATCTGCAAAATCCAGTTAAATAGTAAAAATGTGTGCCAAAAAAAATTTGTCAAAAAAATGAAAAATCATACATTTTTGAAAAGCCCTTGACCATGCCATTTCAAATATGCAAAATTTTTTGCAAAATTTTAAATAACATGATTTTTAATCAAGAAAAACTAAAAATGTGCAAATTTCCTTTGACAGGTTGTTTGCAAAAAATTTGCAATTTTTTTTCTCGCAAAACTTGTGCAATTTGTTTTCTTTTGTCAAAGGCTTTCCAAAAAGCTAAATTTTATCAAAATCTGACAAGTGAAAGTAGGTCAAAACAAAGATTTAGTTTGTTACAGGAAAAAGCAGTCATTCAGGCAGTGTGCCTGAGGACTCAGGCAGTTAGTATTAAAGCCCTGTTTTAGGCCTAAAGGGAGGGCTATGGGTATGTAAGAAAAGTCAGAAAATTTCAACAGCCTCAGACCAATACTTTTTGAGTTATGTAAAAAATACTACAGGGGAGGGGGTCAAATTGACCCCCCCCCAGCGGGAATAGGGTTAAATATTAGCTGATAACTTCAAAGTTTTGATTTGAAAATGTTTATTTTTTTATGTATAAATGGAGTGTGAAAGCAAAAATTTCAGTTTCAACGCTTGATCTCGTTATGCAATATAGGCACTTCTAAATTCTAAGGATCAATGCCCTGAATTTGATCCCTCTATGAAAGTTTTCCTTGTAGGGAATGACCATCACTGGTTTTTTGAGAGGAATTTAAGAATGATCATCAATGCATAAGATGGAGATCAATGCTTGATCCTGAGATTGAGATGAATGCTTGATCCTGAGATTGTATAAAATACGTAAACCAGCATAAAGCGATAGTTAGCGTAATTTCAAGTGACCCTACATGGATTAAGATGGCATTGCCCGATTCAAAACCATACCCTTGAAATCATCATAGTGCCGTATTTACAGGTTTAAAAATGTTAAATTCTGATGATTCCTTTATAAATTCATGCAGTAGAATTGTGCAAGTCACTTTTGTAGAAGTAGAGAAACCACAATTGAAAATAGTTAGTTTTCAAATTTATAAAATTAACATCTAATACATATTAGGCATTTTAGCTTTATGCATTTATGGCCTTATCCATAATTTTTGCGGATTTCTTAAAAGTTATATCTCTCGTTTTTCTTTCATTTTATGCATTTTAGCTTTATGCATTTATGGCCTTATTCATAATTTTCGCGGATTTCTTAAAATTCTTATCTCTCGTTTTTCTTACATTGGATATATAATCATCAAGTTCGTTATCTTAGCTGAAAATATAGAGGCCGACCAAGCTACTAAATAATTTTATAAATTTATAAGTTTTGTGCCAGATTGAAGTGGTGGGGGAATCAGCACCTGACTGAGACCCTTACTCGGACGGCGGTCTGGGGATCTCACATTGGGGATCTTTCATGATCATTTTCTAATACTAATAAAGTATTTGAGAAGAAGAAGAACATCTATTTCATTCTTGATCGGACATCAAAGCTTTTAATCGTACTATTTTCCCTCGGGGATTGTCATCTTTGCACATAGGTTTACTTGAAATTAAGCTTACAACAGTCACATTAACATATTTTCCCGGATTTGAATACCTTAAAGGATAAGACGGAGGTCGGGTTGGTTTCATCTGACCTCCAGGGGAAGGAGAGGAGCCTCCAGACGCCCAACCTTTCGGAGGCTGAAACCTCAGCTGGGCTCCGGTACGAGGATCTCTGAGTACAGGTGGTCCTCCTATGCAAATATTAATGTTGCCGGTTGCAGCTGAAGTTTACGAATTTTCAGAATCAGAATTTTAGGGAAGAGTAATTATAATTTTCTGATTGACATCATTTTTCAAATACATGTTTTTTCTTAATATAGTTTTAGCTGACCCCTCTATCTCATTAATAACAATACCTTGCGCTGTCTGTGGCTGCATCTGCCTGAGTTGCGGAGGTCTAGGACCTCCAGGACCTCCTATCAGACCAGGAGGTCCTTGAGCCCGGGACAGGGATGGAGGAGGTCGTTGAGCCGCTAGGGGAGGGAGGTCCCCCGGCCTCTGGCCTCTGATAAAGGAGGAAGGACGAGACTGCAGTAACGTCGGAGGACGTTGGAGTAAACTTTGAAGTGAGGTCACAGTCCCAGGTCCGGTCATCTTAATTTCAAGGGATTGGTAACAAAATTTTGATTGATACTTTGTTTACCGAATGTCATAAAGGATTTACAACTGGTCCCTTTAAATATTTGGAATTTTATAGAAAATATCTTCTAAGAAACAATCTTTGGCGTGAATCCTTCTAAACTCATTGATAGATTTGAAGATAATAAGATTTCCACAGGGAGTATGGAATAGAAGGGAGATATAACTGACGCGGTTCGCCCTACCATATGATTATACATGCTTTGCCGACGGTACTCAATATGTATAAGAAATATTCAGAATAGGTTATTGTATACGCGGTAATTGTACATCAGACAAATGTTTCTTACTCAAATGAAGTACCCGTCTGCAAAGCATGTATAATCATATGGTTATATCTCCCTTCTATTCCTTACTCCCTGGATTTCCAAACAAATTTTGGGAGTTTAATTTCTATTATACCACATTCTTATCGGATTTACTACGTATTTCTTGTTATTGTCACCCATTTTGTGTAATAATTATGATATTCCACGAACCAAGTGACAATATCAAGAATTATTCACCGCGAACTTGATAGATAGATAGATCCACGACCTAAGTGACAATATCAAGAATTATACACCGGGAACTTGATAAATAGATAGATCAATTTAAAATAAGAATTAACATATTAATTCTGGGAATACATTCAAATCCTCCAAGAATGTGGTATAATATTATTATGCGTAGGAAGAAAGTGTAATAATCAATATTAAAACAATAATTTTGATTATTACACTTTCTTCCTACGCATAATATATTAAGATATAAACCTAAATCATGTTTTCAACAAATGTAAATTTCCTTTTTCCAGTATATACTCACAGAGTGAGAAAGTTTCCTTTTTGGGGTCTATGCATTTGGACAGACTTTAATTCAAGAGATTGGAAAACAACAAGCGAATGTTAAGAAACCATTAAAAATAATATTTCTTAACAAAATATTGGTATTTGACCACATTCATGAAACCAGATTTACAAAACTAGGTTTCATGACGATACACTCTCTATACACTACATCAGTGTACTGTGTACTGGGTGCACTTTACATTTACACTGTACAGAGTACATGGTACAATGTACAGTTTACAGTACACTGAGTATATAAGATGGGCACCTGAGGCAAATTGAAAGAGGGCGGAGCACTAAATCTCGTGAGGTTGGCTGGACCTCTAGATAGACTGGGCGGGCCTTGTAGCCGTGGTGGTCCTGAGAGGCGGGGTTGGCCGGTCAGCTGAGGTGGTCCATGAAGCTGGGGTGGGCCCCTGGACAGGGGAGGAGGGGCAGACCTCATCAGGTTCGGAGCAGGAGCTTGTATTCCCAACTGTAGGTTAGACACAATACCTGACACAAAGGAATAAGTAAATTGTTTTCTGCCATTTTTTTCAGGGTCAAATGCGATACTGTGAGAACCATAAATCTGTAGAGTAGGAAGACGCATTTAAGTAAATGTTGTACTGCATGCTGTTGTAAATAGTTTTACCAATATAGGTTATGCATCAATGTGGCTGTGCATCAATTAAACAATTGCGATGTTTCTTGTTTATTTACTATAATTTATCATCAAACTGTCGTCTTCTTTCTTTACAGTTTTATAGGCCTAATTTTAAATAGATATGAAAACAGATCATGAAGGAACTCCCACTCCCATCCACATTCCAAAATAATAAATAAATAATAAATAAAAATATTTGATTTTACGCGGTGAAATTTGGAATCTATCAAATGTAGGGATAAGACAAATTAAATATTTAAATTTGGATTTTGAATCAAAGCAATGTTTAAATTTTGAGTTAAGGATTTGAAGATTTTCTTTTTACTATCGTAGTGTTTAATTGCAGGGGACGAAATATTGTAATTGTTCTTTATGTTCCAAACCTGACACTCAGTGTCAGGTCTGGACCAAATCACGGTTTGGAACTTTTGTTCCCTGAATGGAAGGTTGTCGCAAAGCATTCCGAAGTGATTACCTAAAGATCTTGGAGTAGGAATATCGGCAATAGATCCTGAATCCTCGTCCAACTTTTCTCTCTTGATCCGCACATCTGAATGATTTCAAAAGTAAAATTTTTTCTTCAAGACATAAATTCTTGTTTGTAACTTGAGGTGAAAAGAAATAATTTTAACAAACCATACTGACTGTTATCCTTCAAAAAAGAAATATTTGCCTGCTGTAGACGACGGTGGTTCTTCGTTTGTCGAGTCTGAAGATTCCCTGTGAGCCACTGAAACTGTTAACTGGGGTTGGTTGGCAAACTGACAGCTTTGCCGTTCCGCCCTCTCTTCTTTGACGTTGACAGCCGCTGTGTGAGTTTCCTCCTCAGGCTGTTGCTCAACTGCAGGCTCCTCTACGCTTGGTTGTTGCTGGACAGCGGAGTGTTCAGTTGAGAGGCGTTGGAACTCCGGTAGATGTGAAAATTTAGTCTCCTGGGTCGATTCAGGTTCTGGATTGGTAGGTTCAGGTTGTACTGCTTCTCCACGCTGCTCCAATATCTGGGAGTACTTAAGCTCCGCCCCACTGCTGCTCTGATACATACAACTGCTCTGCTCGGCAGCAGGGAGCTGCTCATTTTCAGCAGGCTGCTGATACAGCTGCTGGGTGTACCTACAAAAGTTTTATACAGCCTTAGCTGTGACACCTTGTATATTGTATGTACAGTACATTGTACAATATGCACATCATAATAGAACTATTTTGCAATGTGCACTAATTATTTAACTGTGCACAGTTTTACTTCAGATTACCATGGTTCACTAGATTTTTTAATAATTTTGCGGAAAAGAAATTACATTCTTAGACAAAATATCATAATGAACTCTTAGATTTTTGGTAGATATTTTCAACAATTACTGATAAAAAATGAAATTTACAAATAGTTACAATCTTGTAATTTCAAGGTTTTTAAAAACTGAAATAATGAATTAAATAAATGAAGAAAAAAACTAACCGGTAATACAGATTTTCCTCCTCTGACGTTACTGCCGGATGTTGCTGTTCTTGCTCTTGCTGTTGTTGTTCTTCTTGTTGTTGCTTAAGTACATCAGCATATTTCTGCTCTTGAGGTGTCACTTGTGTTTCATATTGATGTTGTTGCTGCTGCTGTTGATGATGTTGTTGCTGCTGATGTTGTTGTTGTTGTTGTTGCTCTTGTTGCTCTTGTTGCTCTTGTTGTTGTTGTTGTTGTTGTTGTTGTTGTTGTTGTTGTTGTTGTTGTTGTTGTTGTTGTTGTTGTTGTTGTTGTTGTTGTTGTTGTTGNGTTGTTGTTGATGCTGTTGTTGCAAGACATCTGCATACTTCACTTCGTGTTGTTGTTCTATGCTAGAATGATGTTGGAGCTGCTGCTGTCTTAACTGCTGCTGTTGTTGTTGCTGCTGCTGAAGTTGAATCTGTTGTTGACGAGCATGCTCTGCTTGCATCTGTTGCTGCCTCAACTGTTGTTGCTGAAGCTGTTGCTGCTGAAGCTGTTGCTGTTGAAGTTGCTGCTGTTGTAATTGTTGCTGCTGAAGCTGTTGTTGTTGAAGAGTATCAGCGTACTTTTCTTCCACCGGGTCAACAAGTTGTTGCATCTGCTGTTTTTGTTGTTGTAATAACTGCTCTTGTTGGCGTTGTGCCATCACCATTTTTTCATAGTTTTCGTGTTCCTAGATTATACGATAGAGATTAATCAAAAAACAAGGTTTGGGAAGAAAGGAAAATGAATGGAAAAAGAAGGAGAACAGGAACAAGACGAGTAGGAAGGAACAAGATGAGTAAGGAAAGGAACAAGATGAGTAAGGAAAAGAACAAGATGAATAAGGAAAGGAACAAGATGAGTAAGGAAAGGAACAAGATGAGTAAGGAAAGGAACAAGATGAGTAAGGAAAGGAACAAGATGAGAAAGGAAAGAAACAAGATGAGTAGGGAAAGGAACAAGATAAATAGGGAAAGGAACAAGATGAGTAAGGAAAGGAACAAGATGAGTAAGGAAAGGAACAAGATGAGTAAGGGAAGGAACAAGATGAGTAAAGAAAGGGACAAGATGAGTAAGGAAAGGAACAAGATGAGTAGGGAAAGGAACAAGATGAGTAGGGAAAGGAACAATAGAGTAGGGAAAAGAACAAGATGAGTAAGGAAAGGAACCAGATGAGTAGGGAAAGGTACAAGATGAGTTAGGAAAGGAAAATGCTCAGAACAATGAAACAATGCATTTGGGAAGTGATTGCTTTGAGGATTTGAAAATAATCAAGGGCATCAGAGAGCAGTAAAATAATTAGGTCTGGAATTATTGTTAATACCAGCATAAGATCTGTTGTTATCTGGGGAAGGAAATGAAATTTATCTTTTACAATATTCCCTGGGACAAGATTTACTGAATATCAAATAGTAATTGTACTACCAAGACTCAAAACCAATTTTTTGTGCTACAGAGTTCAAGTTTGAGAGCAAAGGTTCATGTTAGTCTTTACAGTTCATAACCAAAAATTTAAACTATACTTTCATTAAACTTCACCTCGGACAAGGGTTGGGATTTGAATTTCTTATTGCTTAAAGAAGTTCTGATAGTAATATGATTTATACCTGGCGAAGGCGCTGGTTTTCTCTCTCCTGAAACTGCTGTTGCTGAAGTTGTTGACGTTGAAGAAGAATCTGACGTTCACGCTCCATCTTCTGCCGAACAAATGCCATTTGCTGTTGCTGTTTCAAGATCATTGCTTCTTCTTGCTGTTTTTTCCTCTGAGCAATCAATTGTTCCTGTTTTCTGCGTTCCTGTTCTGCTTGCATCCGCTTCATTGCCTCTTGCTGCTGTGCACGCAAGCGTTCTTGTTGTGCACGAATTTGCTGCTCTTTCATTTGTTTCTCCCGCTCCTGATGCTCCCTAATCCTACGCTGCTGCTCTGCTTGTTGCTTAATCTGCTGCTGCTGTTGATAATGTGAATTTATCTGCTGTTGGCGCTGCTGCTGCTGTAGCTGAATATACTGCTGCTCCTGCATCTGCTGCTGCTGATGATAATTGCTACTGCCAACTTGAGGAGCGAACCCAGAGTTCTGCTGCTGCAAAATTTGTTGTTGCTGTCTTTGCTGTTGTAGCTGAAGCTGTTGACGGAGCAACGGATTCTGCTGTTGTTGAACTGGCTGCTGCTGTGGGGCGGGCTGCTGTTCTGAACGAAGACTTGTAATGGAAATCTGACCGTTGTTGAACAATGAAACTCTGCTGCTTTGAGTTGAGCTCATCTGTGAGCTGATACTAGGAGAGGAGGAGGAAAAGGAGTCAGGATCAGAACGTTCAACCTTTAAAATCAAAATAATAAGATAATAATAGTAATAATAAAGAATAGATTAATAACAAAAAGCAACGTAAAATAACATCCCCCCTCCCACTGGAGGAGTGAAACCAATTTTCATGAACTGTTCTTGAACAAGACGAAAAAATTGTATGTTATAATTATTGAAGCAATTGCACCATCCATTTAACAAGAAAATTTAATTTTTCTATTTTAAACCATATCTCCATGGTTTCACTCACCTTGACTACAGATCTAGGTGTATCCTGAGGATCCGTCCTCTCTGTTTTAATTGTTACTCCGCCGAGATCAGAGGTTGGGGGATCAGGTTTACTCTGAGGTTGAATTGTTATTCCTAAAATTCATTACTGTAAACAAGTGATTGTGGTATGAGAGGGACCCGGAGTAACATTAAATGTAATAAAGGCAGGGTTTTAATATAGCCTGGAAAGATAAATGGATAAGGTGATCATGTACCATGCTAAAGATCATACTAAACCAAGAGTTTAGGGGGGGCCAAGGATGGTGGCCTGGGGCTACAGAACACTAAGGGTTCTGATATCCCTTCAACCGGGTACGCTTGCATCCAGGGTTCAAAAATAGTACATGCCTTAAGCGGACTAACCAGATTCCCTCAGGCGTGAGGATTACACGTATCATTAGGGGGAGTGCTGAGGGGTGGGATTGCCTGGGGCAAGGAACAACCCCAGCGATTCTCTTTAAATAAATAAATAAATCATATTTCAAATTCATGTAAATTATGCCAAATTTACCAATCTTATTCTTAATATTTCGTCTACATGTTGCACTGAAACTTGATCAACTGATGCAATTCTAAAAACGCTGAATGCTAAATGCTCAACGCTTAACGCTCAATGAACATCATAAATGCTAAACGTAGATTGCTAAAGGCTGAAGGCTGAACGCTAAACGAAGAAATCTGTGCTTTTATTTTACTGTTTAGTTGGGATGCTAAAAATAACCCCTTTACACTTAACACTTATACACATAAACGCTTAAAACTATACGCTTAATCCTAAAAGTTTAACATTTAATGCTTATCGCTCAACATTGACTAAACCAGAATCCTCACCCCCCCCCCCCCTCCTTCTAGAAATATTCTACCTGGAGGTAGTTTGGGAAGTCCCTGAAGCTTCCCAGCGTTCAACATCGCGTTTGTATTCCCACCATGCATCCCTAGGGGAGGGGGGCGCTGTACCCCAGGGGAATTACTCCGTAGTAAACCTCCAGGGGCATTATTCTGCGGTTGATGATTCCCCAGCATTCCTGAATAGAAGTTTTTACTAAATCAATTGTGAAAATAATTCTGAAAAAAGTTTAACTTTGCTATAAACAATTCAAAATAAGGAAACGATCACTTACCTGCCATTGCTTTATTCTGACCTAGTCCAGACTGTGGATCCAATAATTCAAATATTTGTGGCTCTTTGCGACTCTAACTGTAATGCTAATCTATAAAAAATGCGCGATGTGTTATATTGTTCCCTGATTGATAAACGCGGCAATCTGTTTCCGGATTTCCGCGTAGTATTGATGAATAAACCGGAAAAGGAATTGTCCATTCCGTGAAAACCGTTCATACACTTGGTTTTCAATATGACTGCTTCGACCTGACAAAAAAATATTAAAAATATAAATTCAAATCAAGTAACAACAAAACCACAAAATGTAACTTTAAGTTGTATTATCCATTTTCAGACTTAATTGCCTAATTGACTAAAATACCTTTATAAAAAAAAACACAATTATAGATAACGATTATCATTTATTTATTAAAGGATTTAATCCCTTGACCTTGTTAGATATTTATGATCAGATAAACAACAACAAAAAACGAGGGGAAACAAATCTAGAAAAAATCTGTTATAATCTGTACCTGGTAAGCTCCTGTTTGTATGTTTACTCAGCTGACCGTTGATCCATTTGACCGCGGTCTGACGGTTCTCTTGAGATATATTCGGATTTATACATTCGTTTCCCAAGTTGTTGATATTTGTTCTAAAACAAAAAAAATGAATTCAAGCTTTATAAAGCTAGAATTGGAAATGCGACCATTGTTAAAAAAAAATCTAAAACATTACATTGAGTTTAACTAAGGTTTCCAGTGAAATCGTTGTACGCAAAAAATGCGAAAATTCCGCGCAAACATTGTGCGAAAATACAAAAATGATAAAATTGCAAGGAAAAAATTCCGAACAAGAACAGCACGCAGGATTCCGCAAAATTCGTTTTCGATCAAAAGTCCTCGAAAGTTTGCTTTAGTCGCTAGAAACCATAGTTGAAACTACAAAAATCATATTTCAATTGACTACCAGCATCAAAATCCGGCAATTCAAAAAAGCTGAACTAATAACCGAGTTTAACGATTTAATTGTCTATCCTTTGTGTAATGTGTACCCTTTCTTTACAAAAAAGTTGAAAAGGTGAATTTTTAATAAAATGCATACCTGAGAAATTTTTGAGGTTTCTGAACATGATAAAACGAAGGGGAGAGCTCTGATTGGAAAAGGTTAATGCACTCCTACCATTAGATCATACATTTATTACATATTAAAAACATATTTTAAAGGGTAAAATATAAAAATATCAGTCAAATTTGTTATTATATTCATTTTTCATATTCATATTTCCGGTAGGGGAGGGGGACATTTCTTGAAATTTTAATACCAAATCTAATAAATTAGGAGGTTTTTTCAAAGATCGGCAAATACGCCCAAAAATTTGGAAAGATTGAGACATACTTTAAAATACGGATTTACAAAAATATTAGTAAATTAAACAGTAAGGTAAAAAGTATATTTATAATGATGGTCTCCCTGGTTTAGATTGTTGAGCCGGGTTTGTGACAAAACAAACATCAGTTTTCTAAACAAATAGAAATGAAATTAAAAAATTATAAAACTAAATACAATTTCGCCTCTTAAGAGAAATGTTTCAATCCAATTATATAATGAAAAAATTATCAAACTTTGAACAGAACACAAGAATATTTAAACAATTTTTCATATTTTTAATAAAAAGAAAAAAATTAGTAATATATGTAGATATTAGGTTTAAACTATTTCTTCTTATTCTAACCCTTGGTTAGTGTATTGAACTTATTGATGAAGTATCTCTCATTAAGTTTCCTGTAAGTTCAGGAGTTTACTTAACAGGATTCAAGGATAAAGGGTTTCATATTTGATAAGGAGTGACCAGAAAGGTTACAATGTTGGCCAGTAAAATTCAAAATTGAAAAATTGGAATTAATTGATTGATTGATAAAAACATTTCACCTTTGAATAAGAGTTGAAAAATGATGATAGTCCGAGGGTACTTCAGCCTAAATACAAAATTTATTATTATAAAGTTTATGTACCTTGTACAGTGTACGTAGGTCCATAAAAATGCGGAAATAGCTTACGATTGTTATCGACAATTTTGCATTGTAGTCAAAAGACAATTTTACCAAATATATTGATTTCAACTACTGGTAAAACTATTAGGATTATATCAACATCAAATTAAAATAAAATTTATTTAACATCGTCTTCATTTTCAACAGTTTTTTTGTTTCGTTTCGCTGAAACAATATCATTCCGTGTTTCAATCAATCAAATTTAAATCTGGAATGGAACCCAAAGTGGAACCCCCAGACTGCCTTCAGGGCACCACATACCATCGTGCAGATATTCTCTTAATGGATGCATAACATTCTGTATATCACTGAACATCATCCCAAATCAATTACATTTTTCAAATCCCACTTTTATTTTACGGTCACTGAAGAACTCAGCTTAAAAGGATGGAATGATCCGACGTTTTCTTACCTCTACAGTCATCGAGTTTATTATGCATAAAGCGTTCATTAAAATTACTTGCAATTACTTGCAAATTACATCCAATATACGCCAAATTACTTTGAATTA